GCTTTGAACAGATAACAAATACTCCGTAATTTTATTAAGAAAAAAGAAAAACATACTCAAAGTTTTTTTATAAAGATATACGGAGTATATTTTTTATTTCTTATAATCTGGATCGTTTTGTTGCGGTGACTTCATACATTTATTTTATGATACAAAAGGTTATTATTAACAGTTTAACACTCATACAACAGGAGGAAACATACAACTTACAACTAAACATAAAATATAATAATCGGACCTAATTGTGGTTAAAATTAACAACCCACCCATCAGGCCCTGTACAAATGAATAATTCAAGACCTTGGGATAACATAAAACAATTCAACGAAAAAAAATTCATTAATTTAACAGCGTTTATAGCACAATGGTAAATGTGTACCGTTATCCCCTTATGATTTCAAATGTACATTGTTGCGTCTAATAGTTCTATAATCAATTTTAACACGCTAGAGATACGTTTCCAAACAATGCCAAAATAAAACATTGGTGCAAAACCAAATTTCTTTGTTAATCGCAGGGAAAACCTACTCTTTCAAAATCTATTTTTAGATACAGTAAAACAACGAAACACATCTAAAATGGGTTACATGGAATGAAAAAGAGTTGCAATGAAAATCAATTGGAGTAATTAATGGTTGATCATTGACCAAAAAAAAGAATAAAATTATAAAAGTATGTTTCATGCGATTGAGGAGTGCCATTGGCAAAAATAAATTGAATTTGGAAAAAAAATAATATAAAGCATAAAAATCAAGTATTGGGGCATTGGGCTAAAGATATTATTAAAATGGACCCCTATATTTCGGAGACCATGTACAAGTAAACCTAATGCACTTGTTTATGGGCGGGCCTAATAATTAATACGAAAGAAACAATTCACTTATATTTAATAACATCTCTTCTTGATTGTTCATTTTCCAATTAATGGAGACAATTCACCCTATATTTACAAACAAAGCATTATAATGCTTTCGTCTCAATTTAAACTATTTGTTTCACTTTACGATGTTTGTGTAGAGTTAATTATTTTCAAACATTCGATATAATGAAAACATGTACCTGAATACCTCTCTGCCCAATAAAAAATTTTGATTTGACTTGAGATAGAATTAAGAAAAATAAAATTGTATGATTAAAAATAATGCATAGAAGAAAAATAATATGAGCTACAAAAGCTTTTTCAAAAATAAGTTAAACAAATTTAAGATGAATAAAAAAGTATGAAACGCTTTTGTAAGAAGAAATGAGAAGATCTATATGGGACAAATAAAAAGAGTTAATGAAAAGATTTATGTAAGACAAATAAAAAAACTAATGAAAAGATATATGGGGATCGATAGAATATAGGATAATGTTGGGGTAAACTTTGGGGCCACCCTTGAGGTACCTTAGCAAAGTTCTCAAAACTATTCAAACCACATAAAAACAACCTACTTACCTACCACAACAAAAACATTCATACCACCTCAGCCTAAATAAGAAAATTCAAATCTAACCGGAACATAAAACCAAATAAATAAGATTAAACTAGACCAAATTACATTTTAAAAAATTGTTGATCGTAGGTCAATATTAAGCCATTTGTTATAGGGAGTTTGACAGAGTCTAAAAATGTATGATGTGGAGCAATGAAAAATATTTATTATGGTGAATGTGAATGTGTGTTAAATTTTGATTGGTTGAAATTAAAAAAAAAAAACAGGGCAACAGCGGGATGACCCTCATGCTGGAAGGGGTCACGCCCTACTCACGGAACTCTGTCCTCTTCGAGCGACTACGTACGTTGGTTGTACCTCGAAACCATTCTGTTTCAATAGAGGTACGAGAAACGGTTGGGAGCAATGAAGTAGGTGAAGTGATTAAATTTTTGGAGCTGTTCCAACCACTGCTCGATGTGATTCCAAGAGCCAAACGAGAATGAATACCGCACAGAAGAGTCGAATAAATAGTTCTACCAAGGACTAGATCGGAGTGAAAATCCTGAGAGATCCATTTTAGATGCGCGAGCACTGCCTCCTAAGAGCAGCGTGTCTACCAATTTCACCATAGTGGCGGGTCTGTCAACATGAATTAAATTCCAACCCGACCTCAGTAGGAGGAGGTCAAGCCCTCCTCACGAGTCACGTTCTCGTAGTGGGCTATATGAACGAAACACCCCTGTTTTGCAATTGGTTGATATATAAAATCAAGATTGTATAACAACAATGTTTTACATACATGACAAACCGTATTTGAGATTTTGAGGTGTGCCCTATACTTAGGCTGAAGGTGTGGCTTAGACGTGTCACGCAATCCCGACGGGGAACACATCCCCACCCCCTGATCGAGACTTGGCGTGGACGGATGGATTTGCACACCGTACCGAATGCCACGATTTTTTTTTCCTTTTGCCCGTTTTTCGCAGCTTTAATTTTTTAAAGAAAGAATTTTTATTATTCCCTTATGGTCGTTGCATTGCAGCTATTAATTTAAAAAAGTTTTTTTTTAATTTGAAATTTCCTTCTCTACTTAAATCCTCTTCTTCTACCCCAAAATTTCATCAATTTTTCTCCATAAAAAAACATTATCTATTTACAAAATATTTATTGCCATGAATTATTCTTCATCTTCCGACGAAGCAGATGAATTCTTTTTTGAACTTGGTGACTGACGCCACACAAATTCTTCTAACGCAACATGAAACTGCAGGGTCATTTGCGCTACGAAGAAGACAGCGAGCCTTAAATCAAGATCGGGAGGGTATGATGTTTTGTATTTCGTCATATAATCTATATTTTAAGATTATTTTGCATATTTTTCAATTTTATTATTTTTACTATATTTCAATTCGTAGCAAGTCATGATCGGTTGGTTTCCGACTACTTTGCGGAGGACCCCGTCTACATTGACAATTAGTTTAGGCGCCGTTTCTGCATGAGTTGCCGATTGTTTCTCGGTACTGCCGATGACTTGGCAAATACAAACCCATTTTTTATCTTACAGTCGGATGCAAGATTCAGATGGGTTTTACAACGTTACAGAATTGCATAGCGGCATTAAGGCAACTAGCATACGACATTAGCAGCGATTCATGAGATGAGTCCCTCCAAATATGTACCTCGTCGATTATACTCTTTTACATATCTACTATATATATAAAAGCTGATGAGAAATCAGTTGCAATTTCACTTCTCAATTTTCCCTCCAAATTTCTGGATCCAATGGCTAATAATAAATTCGTACACGTGGCAGCATCACATTAAATCTTACTCCAAAAACATATACAATCACTTCAAGACAAAACAAAAATATACCCACATTCTAAATTTTAGTACATGGCATCTCATCTACTGTATAAAACCAAGCAAGTACTTCACAAATGTACTAACAATTGAACTGCCACCGCCCCCATATGGTAACATCACGCCAGAATGAACCTTGGAGTGCCCCAATTTATATTCTTTGAATCTTCAGAATTCTCACATGGACTTGCTTGTACACATTTCAGGATAATGCCATTTCAAAGGCCATTTCAAGGCTGAGAAGAGAGCAATATGAAATTCCTGGATAATGCCCATTTCAAAGCAACTATAAAGAGGCTCAGAAATCTACTATAGAGGAGATAAGTTAACGCCATGGCTGCTTCTGGGCGGATAACCACGCCAAGGTACGTATTACTTCCTTAATTTTGGTAATCAAAATAAAATAAAACATATGAAATCAATCATCACAACCTCTTTATTTTTCAAATTATTCCAGGCATCATCACAACCTAGAGAAATGTACAATCAGAAATGGAAAAAATCCAGGCATCACTGCCAGAATTAGAGCAGTCAGTATAATACCTCATTATAAAGAGGCTTATAAACTTAAATTTTCTTCTTTAAAACTCATTCTAATCCAATGGCTAATAATACTTTGGTACACTCTGCAGCTAGCCAGCTACATATTAGTTCTCACTTCAAAAACATATACAATTAATTCTGGACAAAAAAACTATACCCTCAGTAGAAATTTCAGTAAATGGCATCTCATTTACTATATAAAACAAAGCCAATGTAGTTCACAAATGTACCAAGAAATGAACCGCCACTGCCCCAGTTACATAACATCACGGCAGAATGAAATTGGCATTGCCCCCATTTGAAATGAGGTATTATAAAGAGGCTCAGATTTTTACTTTTTATATACTCATTACAAGGAAAAAGTTTATGATAACACCATGGCTGCTTCTGGCTAGGCCGTAGCCACGCCAAGATACGTTTTATTTCCTTAGTTTCAAAAAACAAAATATGAGAAAACATATAAAAACAATCATCACAGCCTCTTAATTATTACAGTTACTCCAGAGCATTGTGTATTCTTTGAAAATAACCATTTCAAGCTAATATAAAGAGGCTCATATATTCACTATTTATGTAATCATTTTTAGAAAAGGGTTATGATAACGCCATGGCTGCTCCCGAGAGCCACGCCAAGATACGTATCAATTTCCTTAATTTCAATAATCAAAATATGAGAAAACTTATAAAATCAATCATCACAGCATCTAAAGTCTACAAATTATTCCACCTTCATACACAAAGTGTAGCATGGATGCAAAAATAGGATGAAATCACTTAATTACAAGACAAAGCATGGAACATGATCCCTATAGCACATGACATACCCATTACAAGTGGTAGAGACCAAAACATTTCCTGACTGGAAACTCAACATATATTATAGCATTCAACTCATAGGACTTAAAAAACATCTCTTCATTGAAATTGGTGACTTTCAGTTGTAACCCAATACATTTGATTGAGTGTATAAATACCCTTCCAATCTTACACACTACACACCCTTCCACTCTTATTTTATTAGCCTAAATTCCTTCACTCCACTGTTTTTGTAACAACTAGCCTTATACTTTTCAAAAACTGCCTGCCCTTTTGATGAGGTTGATGGAACTAAAACCATCTAGAGGGTCGAATCACTTCATGAGAAGGTCTTTAACAATGGAATCATTTTCTGTTGTTCCTAATTTATCCATTTTATTCTACAACCTGGGAAAAATGTATCTACTTCGTGTAGGGTGAAACAAGCAAGGATTGAGAGTCTATAATTGATGTGGATAGCTCGGAAGCCATAGGGTGGGATTTGAAAACCAAGCTTAAGAGAGACCTTCTAAATGATTTTGAAAATGCAGAGTAAGAGAATTTGAAAAGGAAGAAAATAATCATCAAAGTAGAAAGGACTGAAACTTAATTTTTAAGAATGTTGTTTGCCCCGTACTATCATTATTTCCCTTTTCTACATTTTCTTTTCCTCCAGTGTATTGAATAAGTGATCAGGCACATACTTTAAGTGTATTCTAATTTATTTAATATAATTAAGTTCGTTATCCACGTCCTATGAATTTCATGTAAAATATTAATGTGATTGAGGGATGATTCAATCATAACCACATTGGTATTTTATATAACTGAAATAAAGTGTTCAGTAGATACAAATGTTTTAATATTGAATGTAAGGGATCATTGGATAACATTTATATATTTCTTGCAAAGTCCCTGATTGTTTTAAGAGCATTGCAGAAAGGTAATAGAATAAATTGATATCTTTGTAAATTGGATTATGATGTTAATCTTTTTTGAAATGCAGAATTTAATATTGAAATATATCTATTTGATATATAAACAGAAAACTAAATGGTAGTTCATAATTGAAGAGAAAACTTCATGCAGTAAATAATTTTTTGAACATGTTCGTGAGGACTAGAAAATTGCAGTAACTCAATGGTAGATGGTTTGACATAATTAATATTTAAGTAAAAAAATTTAGTAATAAAACCCTACACTAAAATATCTCCTGGAAAAAATAAAAGAATTTGTGTCAAATTTTATACTCATACCTTTGAAACACTTTTTGGTATATATTCTCAGATCATCATCTTGAACATGCATGGATCTCTAAATTAAAGAAGGATCCTTCGAAGTGCAGAAAACATCTTATTTTCAGGATATGATTATCCCAAAAAAGAATAAATGTATGAACCTCAAAGTCTTCAAAAAAACATCAAAAAAAAAATTGAGTAAGAAATTATGCATGACAGATCTAATATTATTTCTTGAACTTAATATTTTTGAAAAATCAATAAATTAAATGTATACAAGTAGTCTATGATCGGAGACCGTCCTCCCTTACACATAAAAAATGCTCGATGTCTAATGAAGACATGGATCGCAAATTTTCTAGGATCTGTGAAGATTTTCAAAAAAAATCACAAAAAATAGAATAAAAGACACGAGAACATCCATTGAATTGATAGAACAATGATGGAAGAATTTGGTATCACATGATAAATGAGATCAAATGTGAAAGTGTAGATAGATTACACAGAACGAAGTGAAATCAGAGAAGATAAGGTATACGGAAGTTGTGGTTAGAATGAAGCGACATAGGGGATGGAGTAGGATTTTGGGTTAGTAGATTTGAGCCTGGACCCAAAATATATTCAATGGGTTTCTTTAATTTTCCCTGGACTTAGCAAAGTCTGTATTACGTACTTCTTCCGTCCCAATTTATAGTACATGTTCACTATTTACCTAGTCAAACTTTATTTACTTTCTTTCTCTATTTTTGTTACCAATTTGATAAAATAAAGTACTACTGTCACTACTAATTTTGTACATCTTTTGTTGTAGTATTTTAACATGTAATTTTTATTTTTAACTCTATACCATTTGTTATATAAAACGATTTGAAAATAGTTTCAGTCACACATCGTAAACCAAAACGGGCTTTATAAACTGGGACGGAGGGAGTACTATATCTTGAAACATTAAACTTATTATTTCAATTTTCAAAATTTTTAAAATAGTATATTTTTATATTTTTTATTAAAATACTTCCTCCGTCCACAAATAAACTTCCTGTTGCGTGTTACGATGTTTGACTGAAGTTATTATTAAATCATTTTATATGAAAAATGGTGTGAAATTTTAAAATAAAAATTACATATTAAAAAATTATATCAAAAGATCTACAAAACTAGAGATGACATGACTATATTATTTTATCAAATACTCCAAAAATAGGCCAACAAAATGAATAAAGCTTGACTATGTGAATAGTGAACGAGAAATTTATTTATGGACGGAGGGAGTATTGTATATGTTTATTAAAAACTTTAAGAGTTTTTTTTTTAAATTTTTCAGTAAATAATACTACGTAGTATTTATACACACTCATATTGAAAATATGACGTTATTATTATCTTCCCAAGGTATTCATCCATCAAGTTTACCACAGAGACACAGATCTTGCGTTCCAATAAATCCCTTTAGCGACATTAGAAACTAGGGCTATCAACGGATAGTCGAAAATCCGATTACCGTCCGCATTCGTATCCGTTTAAAGAGGAAATATCTGCATCCGTTTTAAACAGATATTATCCGTATCCGATTAAGGATATCCGGTTACTAAACGGATACGAATTTGGTAATTTCATATCCGATCCGTTTAAAATCCGACCCGAATATGCATCCATTTAAATAACCGTTTATCCAAATATCTGATCCGTTATATATAATTTTTCCTAATTTTTTTATGTTTATATTTTGTTTCTCTATTGATATTTCAAAGTATAAGACATTTCTATATACGAAATAAATGTGTACACACATAAAAATATGTGCAGCCATATAAAAATATGTGTATATGTATGCTGTGTGTATCTTTTCATCATATGAAGTTATCGTAGAATATCATAAATCATGAAAACAAAAAAAATAATTATCTCATAACAAATTATAGTTGATTTAATAATAGTTTGACTTTAACCTAATTTAAAATTAAAGTATTGTTTAATTTTATTTTAAAAATTGGAAACGGATAAGAATATGTCCAATATCTGACCGATATCCGACGGATGCGGATACGGTTTTGTTTTTTAGTATCCGTCAAGATCCGTGTCTGAATTTGATATCCGACAAAAATAAACGGATACAGATATTGTAATGGTACATCCGATCCGATTAATATCCGTTTAAACCCTATTAGAAACGGTTAGTTCACTACAGAGTGCTTTTTATAAGTGTTTCATATATTAAAATTTGTAATTTGTGTTTATCAATAAAAAAAAATTGCATTCATGTATTGAATATAGTATACTCTAGAATTCACCCTTTATGTTAGTAGGTTTATTTTATAATAGATTAATACAAAGATATAAAAACAAAAGATGGACATATGTACTATTACTTATTAATAATATCAAGTTACAGCATTTTTCAATTTTTTCGCATTTGGACAAGTTTTTTCTTTCCGTGCATCGCACGGGTGATGTACTAGTAACTAATAAAATGTTTAATATAAATTTTTAATTTAAATTAAAATATTAAAAGAATTGTTATAAAAGTATTATTTTAAAAAAATAAATAAAGAAAAACGGTGGAATGAGAATCAACACCCGTGAATGATGATGGAATGGGAAAAACTAATGTGACACTGAGTTGGGAGTAAGGATGGTGGTGATACATCCACCAGCCTTAATGAGAGGTCACAAGGCTTAATTGCACTCGTATCCCTTGTGGTTTAGAAAATTGGTGTAACTACCTCCATTTGTTTTCAAAACTTATTTCTAAAATCCCAGTAGAATATTCGAGTTTGAAATCCAAATTCCAGTTTCCAAACATGTCATTAATATTTTTGTTTAATACTTTTATTCTGATTTCAATAAGAGCATATCAAAACTAGAATAAACCTTGGATGTCCCTATGTTTAACCCAGTACTCTAGCCACAAATTGATTCCATGAAAACATGTACCTCCATGTCCAACAAAAAAAATTGATATTTGACTTGGCATAGACACATAGTGAATTAAGAGAAAAGAAATTATATAATTAAAATTGATACAGAGAAGAAAAATAGGATGAGCTACAAAAGCTTATTAAAAAATAAGTGAAACCAATTTTAAGTCGGATTGAAAAAATATGAGAACCTTCCATAAGACGAAAGAAGTATAAGTTTGAGGCCAGAGGTTAGAGGTACCTTAGCAAAGTTCTCAAAACTATTCGAACTACATAAAACAACCTGAAAGAAAGAATCCTATCAAAACATAGACCAAATAAAAAAAGATTCAAACCAGACCAAACCAGACCTTAAAAAAATGTAGATCTCACGTCAATATTAGAAGCAATAAGCTATTCGTTCTCGTAGTGGACTATATGAACGAAATACTTTTTTTTAGGGTAACGAAACACTTCTGTTGCTACCGGTTGATATATTAAATCAAGATTGTATAACAACAATGTTTTACATACAAAGGATAAACCTGCTTCTGGGAGTCCAAGTATAACATTTTTCTATCCCAAAGCTGAGCAAATAACAAACCCAAACATAGCCTGCATATCCATTTGGAAGTAAAAACTCAGAGAGGTGAGATCTACGTGGACCACACTTCTATTCCTATGAGTAGAGAGGCTAAAACCTGCAAATGGACGGATCATCAATGCTTTTCTAGCAGAAAAGTCGGCGGACTGATCTTTTCGGGACTTTCCCCTCCAGTTTCAATCTTCTATATGCTTCTCTTATGTGACATGGTCTAATTGGTCCTGAATCATTCCTCTCTGACATAACCATTCTAGCTGCAACAACAACAATGAACCCAGTGAAATCCCAATAAACGTAGGGTATAACCATTCTAGCTGCACACAACCAATAAGTAACAAACATTGAAGAAGACTAACCCATTTCAGTAAGCTCGCCAACAAACATTTTTGCAATACCAGACATCACAATCGTCATAGGCAAAGAAATTTTCTGACTTCCTGTAATGCTGACTAGTAACTGCGTCATCCACATCAAAAGAGGAAAATTTTGACTGATATCATATGATGTGTCTTAAAATGTAAAAAGCTAAACTATAATTGCTCAAACAAAAAGGTCTGCCTGGTCTGGACCAACACAAGGAAGCACGACATACCCGTTTCATGTTAGACTTTTGAAATCCAGATCTTCGAAAAGATTCATACCTACTCATTTGCTCTTCAGTAAATTGTGATAAAATGCTTCTGCATAAACATAAGAAAAAGAATGAAATATTTAATTAGATTCTTTTTTTAAAAAAAGTTTCACAAGCGCAAAAAGGGTCTTTCTGTGTACAAACTTGTAAAACTAAAGAGAATGGAGTTAACTAAGCCAAGTATCTTTCAATAACAACCTTCCTACTCCTGTACGCAGGGATAGCATACACCCAACATTGCAAAAACCCACTTATGAGACCTTGCTGGGTTGTTGTGGACTTGTGGTCCTATTCACGCGTTCACTTTTTGAAAGTTTGGTGGTCTTTTATCACTGTCCAATTAGTAATTTCAATGAATATTACTACCTTTTCCATATTCTACCCTTCAAAATAAAATATGGAGCCCAGTGAAAAACGTGAAAAAAAAGTAAAATACATTGAAGTAAATGTGTAGTGAGTTCATAGATAAGAATAATTTTTTGTAAAATGAGACAAGTCGTAATTCATTTAAAAGTTAAATGCATTTTCTCCACGCATGGTTTGGACAAAGTGGACACATAAAATGGACCAAATGGAAGGAATAAAATATAGTTCACTCCGAGCAATTTTCTTCTTGTTGTGTTCCATAACATCTCTACACATCTGCCATATTGAGTTACCAAAGCTTTACTATAACTCACAACTCTCAGCATGCATCTTTACATGTTTTCATTTTCCTGTAACTCCTCTCCCCAATTAACCCTCATGGGTAACATAGTTGGAAGCAAATTGTATAAATTAAGAAGATGCTCAAAGATACAACTCTTGGAAACAACCTCTCTACTTTCGAGTAGGGGCAAGGTCTGCGTACACACACCCTCCCCAGACCCTACTTTTTGTGGGATTTTACTGGGTTTGCTGTTGTTTCTGTTGTTGTTGTTGTTGTACTCAAAGATACAACTAATATATGTCATACTCTGAAGTGTTCCAATCATAATTCTTGATAGATACAATCTTCCAAAGCATTAAAAAAAAAGCATGCATCCATAATTTTCAATAAAGATGCCAATTTAAATAACTGAGAAAAAAGGTGGCAATATTTAATGCCCTAGTGGCAAGATATCATCGATTCCTGTGAATTTAGCCCCAATGGTAGTACCAGTAATGATTTCATTCATCAACAAAACCATAAAAGTTATTAAAGTAATGATAACTTACTGCATCTTGGCCATTTTATCAGGGTCGCTACTAGATGAGAACTTTCCTAGCTGCATGTCCATGTTCTCTTCATCTTCTTCTTCATCATCTTCTTTGGGTTTGCTAGCAGTCCCAGTAGGAGCAGTTGCAGCATAAGAGGTTGAAGGGTTTTCAGAGTGATCAATGGAAACAAAATCATTCATTCCGTGATCACTCGGGGCAAGAGTAGCCACATTTTGGCTTTCGTCCTCACCAGCTCCTGTAGGAGAATCAGGGGCTGATTCCTCTTGTTCCTCAAACGCAGCTTCAAAGGGATCCTTGGATTGCTTCATCAAATTATCTGTTGAATCAATTATTATCACAGAAGAGCTTATACACAGTTGCAGTAATTCCTACAGCTTAGAAAAAATACTCTCTACTCAATTGCCAGTGTTGCAGCAGAAGACCATGGTTACCAAGGCGACAAGTCGAGTCGAGTCGGTGAAGAGGAGACCAGTGGACTAGTCGACTACTAGTCGTAGACTAGTCGGAGTAGTCGACAAATCACAAAAAGTATTGAAATTTTTAACATTATATATATCTTCCTTCACCAAAAAAACTATACATATTTTTATGAAGAAACATCATTATTCATTACCAAAAAAAATTATGTTTAAAGATAGCACATAAAGTCACATAACGAAGGGTACATAAGAAACAAATATCCTTCAATCTTTAAAAATAACACATCAAGTATCAACAAAGAAAACAAGCAGAGAAAGAAGACATTGCCCTACTCAAAGAGCAGCCCCTTGTGCAAAAATAGAGCCTCAAATGCCATTACCCTTAAGAAAACTAAGAGTAAATTCCATAAACGGTCCTTTATAACGAGGGGTTTTCCATATTTAGTCCTCTATTATCAAATACTACCTCCGTGGTCCTTTTATGGGTACCTTTCCACAAATAGTCTTTTTTTGACTTTTGTCATGTTGGTATTAATTTGAGGGCTAGAAGTATAATGTGACAACAACCCTATGTCCAGTGACATTCTAATGTCGGTTAGACGGACAACACAACTCTGGACTAGGATTTCGATGAAAGACCACATTTATAGACTATGGTTGTAGTAGAAAGCAACGGTGATTTACAAACGACACATCACGAGCGACCTCTAGAATTGTGTATGACAAGAAATATATATATATATATGATCACTGTGAAATTACACTTTTAGCCTCAAATTAACACCAACATGATAAAAGATAAAAAAGAACTTTTTGTGAAACGATACCCATAAAAGAACTACGGGCGTAATATTTGATCATAGAGAACCAAATATGGAAAACCCCCTGTTATAAACATGGTAGTCAAACTCGCGATCCGGATCGTACAATTGTACGATTCCGGATATCGCTAGGGGGTTTCCGATCCAACTCGCCCTCAAAATTGCAAAAATCCTTCGAGTCGGAAGAGTCACCGATCTGGATCGTGCAATCGCACAATCACAGGAAATCGTCGATCTTAAAAAGAAAATAATTAGAAATTTGAAAAGCATGTTTTGTTGCTTTGATTTTGTCAATTTTGTCGCTTCGATTATTTTGCGACTTTTACATAGACAGACACGTTTTTTTACTATTATAAATAGGCTTCTTCTCCCACACAAATACTTACAGAGCTGTTCAAGCTTTGCTTCTCCTTCTAGCATTCTCCCTTCTAACGCCTGCTTCCCTGCGCGTCTCCTCCGCGTCTCAATTTTTGCCTAGGTTTTATTTATGATTTTTAATTATCATGTCAATCCCTACTTCAGCGACAACATTTACCATACCAATAGCAAAAAATGCTCCTGGGCAGAAAACTGATGTTGCTTGGGAACATTGCAAAGCAATTGATTCTAGTACTCCCTTTGTCCCATATCTTTCTTCTCACTTTCCTTTTCGGGCCGTCCCACTTAATTCTTCCCATTTCTTAAAGTGGAATTAAAATATGTTTAAAGTTACCAATTCACCCTCTCTTCATTTATTCTATTTCTCTCCCCCACAATTCCTCTATCTCGACTAGACACACCCACCCCTCCATTCCCCTTTTCTTCTTTTCTTTTTCTTTTCTTCTTCTCCAGCTACCCCGCACACCTTCTTCTTCTTTTCTTTTCCTTTTCTTCTTCTTCTTCTTCACCCACCCGCACCCCTTCTTTGTGTTCATCAGCCCCCACCCCCCACCTCACATCTTCATCATCACCCCACCACCCTTTTTTCTTTGCCAGCGGCAGCTCCAGGTGGTGGTGCACAGGTAGCGGCTCAAAGGATTCTGATATAGAAGTTCGTTCTTCCAACATCCGTGCTCGAGGTGGTGGTGCACAGGTAGCGGCTCAAAGGATTCTGATATAGAAGTTCGTTCTTCCAACATCCGTGCTTTAAATCCAGCCCGTCCTTTCTCAGTGAAATGGTTTTAATTTCTTTTCAATTTTAGCAAGATCCAGTGAGAAAACCTACAGATCTGGATCCCATCCATCTTCTTCCTCGAACAAAGCTTTCACAACCTGCAGGTGGCGATGGTAACGGAAAAGCTTTCAGGCGACGAGGTGATGGGACAAGGGTGGATTTGAAATAGATCTCACCTCATCTCTTCGTTTTTTTTTTAATTTCATTGGCTATTGATTTTGGCCCAATCTCTTCAAAGACGGAGATGGTAAGAATGGGGTATGTGGGTTTGAGACGGAAACATCGCAGGGGTGGGAGGGTTTGAGAATGAAACTTTGCAGGGGTGAGGCGGGGTTGTGAGGACAAAAAAACAAAGGGGCAAATTTGGAAAGTCAAAGCAATTTTAACATTACATTAAAAATTGTGCCAAGTCAAACTGAGAAGCTTCAACTTGGACGGAAGGAGTAATAGAAAGCTAAAATGCAATTATTGTAGCAAAGTAATAACAGGAGGGGTGTTCCGTATGAAGCATCACTTAGCAGGGACACAAAAGTATGTGGGTGCTTGCAAAAGTGTTACGGATAAGTTGAGACAAGAAATGTGGGACATTGTAGTTACCTCTAAAGAGAAAAGGCAAAAGGAGGAAGAAGAGGATGATGATGATGATGATGATTGTGAAAATCTTGGCCATAAAAGAAAAATCAATGACGAGGTTGGTGATCGATCTAACACTTTTTTCAAAAAAAGAGCGACCAATCAAAGCACCATTAGTAGCATGTACAAGAAGAGTTTGAGAGAAGATGCTTGTCTAACAATCTCGAGATATTACTTCAACAATGCCATATCATTCAACACGGCAAGAAGTGAAGAATTTCGTATCATGTGTGATTTGATTACAAAACATGGACCTGGATTCAAGCCGCCATCATATCATGAAATCAGAGTAAAGTATTTAAAACAAGAAGTGCACTCGACAGAAGTCATTGTCAATGAACATAGGAGTCAATGGAAGAACAGAGGGTGCACCATAATGAGTGATGGTTGGTCTGACACATGAAAGAGAGCATTGATAAATTTTCTGGTTCATAGTCCAAAGGGGACTGTTTTCTTGAAATCACTTGATGCTTCTAAAATAGTGAAGTCATCTGACAAGATTTTTGAGATGTTTGATGAGGTCATTGAAGATGTGGGTGAAGAAAATGTTATTCAGATTGTGAAAGATAATGCCCCAAATTATAAAGCTGCAGGTGATCTATTAATGGAGAAGCAACAAATGCTAAATTGAACACCATGTGCGGCTCATTGCATTGATCTCATGCTAGAGGACTTCGAAAAGAAAATTTCAATTCATGGACAGAAAATTCCTAATGGTCGCAAAATCACTACTTACATTTATTCTAGACCTTCTCTAATTCCTTTATTACACCACTTCACAGATGGGAAGCAATTGATGAGACCAGGAATGACTTCATTTGCTACTGCTTATCTAACTTTGAGGTGTCTTCATGAAAACAAAAGTGGTTTGATTAGAATGTTTACATCAGAAGAGTGGAAGTCAAACAAATACTCAAAAACAAAGGATGGAAAAGATGTGGAGGAGATTGTATTCAATAAGGAGATTTGGAAAAGCTTAGTGATATGTTTAAAGGGTGCATTACCTCTCATTGAGGTGCTTCGTTTGGTTGATTCTGATGAGAAACCTGCCATGGGATTTCTTTACCAGGCAATGGACCAAGAAAAAGAAAAGATACAAGCAACTTTCCAAAATGTCAAGAAAAGGTAGATTACATAAGTCCTTTTCTTTATATTAACGTTTATCATCATAAATTAATAAGAATTAAGTAATATACTTTTGTGTTCAGTTATAGGCCTTTGTGGATTGTCATTGATGAGAGATGGAACAAACAACTTCATAGGGCCTTGCATGCGGCAGGTTATTATCTTAACCCTCGCATGCACTATAGCCCCAATTTTAAAGCTGATTATGAAGTTAAACAAGGCCTATATAAATGTATAGGACGCAAGGTGGTTGATATCGAAGAACAGGCAAGGATTGATGTTCAATTAGAGGACTTTAAGAAGCGTGAAAATTATTTGGTACTCCGGCTAGAAAGACATTTGATAAGAAAAGTCCAGCAGATTGGTGGGAGTCATATGGAGATGAACATCCAGACCTTCAAAAATTTGCCATTCGAGTATTAAGCTTGACATGTCGTCAGGATGCAAGCGTAATTGGGGTGCATTTGAGATGGTAAGATTTCTATAATTCTATTATATTGTAAAATGAGGAAACAAAATTACTTGATAATTTTCATTAGGTCCACACAAAGAGAAGAAATCATTTGAAGCAGAAAACAATGAGCGATGTCGTTTTTGACATGACTAATTCAAAATTGGCAAAAAAGAAGAAGGCTAGGAGATCAAGTCAGCTCAGACTAAAAGATCTTTCGTCAGATGATGAGTGGATTATGGAAGATGTTGGTGAAGACCCCGGAGGTGATGAAGTTCTTGATGGAGATAACTCCACAGATGTTCCAACACAGAATGAGAAGAAGAGGCCAATGCAAATGTTCAACCTGGACATGAAGAGGAGTTGGATGTCGCCAATTTGGATGAGGGAGATGAAAATAAAGATGAAGATCAAGAACTTATAGAGGATTATAATTTTAGCATTGATCCTACATAGAATCTAGAGTTTGACTACCATTGTTATAAAGGACCTATTATAAAATTTACTAAAAAACTAAAATGAGCAAAAAAGAAGCAATTATAAACTGAAATCAGGAGAAAAGAAAACTGAAAAAAAACTAAAATTAGCAACAACAAAAAAGAACAAAATGGAGGATGATAGAGAGAGAGACGTCGCGTGAACAATCTCGACAAGACAATCAGCAGAAAAGAATTTAAGATAAAGAGATCTTTTACCCATGGAGGATGATGGAGAAGAATCGATGAAGATGAAAAAGAATTGGTTCCAGAAGAATCGATCCTGGAAGATGGGCTTTGGTGAGAGAGAGAGAAGTCGGGAAGGACTGTCGCGATGTGCTGAGTGAACGAGGGAGGCCATGCTTTCCTTTCCCTCTTTTTCCTTTAAGAAAAAGAAGAAGAAGAAGAAGAAGAAGAAGAAGAAGAAGAAGAAGAAGAAGAAGGGTAAAGGAGAAGAAAGAAATGGGAAGAATCAAATGAGACAGTCCGGAAAGGAGAGATAAGGACAAAGGGAGTACTTCTATATTCATCTTTGAACAACATAAGAACTTCTTAAAAATTTGAAATGCTGCATAGATGGATGTCATACAGCCTATGAGTTCCCATTCTCCACTTGAACAGATCAATAACAATCCACAAAGTAGAGTCTTACTAGTGGGGTCTTGGGGGTGGTGTATGCAGACCTTATCAATGCTGGCATGCCTATAAGGTAGATAAGCTATTTCCAAAAGACACCCCAGTTCAAAAAAATAATACTCTTCTTCCTTTAAGAAAAAGATAGATGAAAACCCAACTACCCTAGAGCTTGAAGCCCTACCCTCCTAACTTTCATAACTAACTCCATGCCATTACTCCTAAGTCAGTTGAGCAAGCCTCATTTCCACTCAAACATGTCAAGAAATGATAAATCTAAAAAGTCAAATAGCTAAAACTATGTTAATGCACTTGCCATGGCAATAAACTAATTATTAGGGGAAAAAATACTCTCTTCCTCCTAAAAAATAATTTATAGTTTGACTTTCACAGAGTTTAAGATAAGTATTGAAAAGTAAAAAGTGTATGGTTAGAGTTTGTTTGGATACGAGAGAATTAATGTGAACCTTATATTCATTACTAAAATAGGAAATAATGTAAGCATACATTTTTTTGGGACGTCCAAAAAAGGAAAGGGTAAACAATTTTATGGGACGAATGGAGTAAATTTCAAGTCTTCAAGAATGTGTTGTTTATGGAAAACATAAAGTTGCACTTCACTTCTTAATTATATTGACTAAAGTTCTACAAAATGTGTAACTAAATACCTTACAATCCTCGAAAGATAATGATGATGATAAAGTGACATTAGAGCGTCAGTGATGCTTCTGATATGAAGCAGATCAGTTGATGCATTTTTAATACTACCAGCTCTAACACAAGCTTCCCATTCCATTTGCCCTTTTATTTATTCACTATTCTCCAAATGTCTTTTATTATGACCTTTCATTGTCATCCATTGCTAGTTGATAAAAGTGGTTTCTAGGAGATGAAATAGTCTCAATTGCCCTGATAAAACATACAGAGTATGGCTTGCTGTTATTATTGACAGAACTGTTATTATTGTTTTCTTCATCTGGTCTTCTGTAAACAAGTTTCACCATTTCTCTCCTTCTGTAAGCACTTGATTGCTCTCTATATTTTCTTGCCATTATGACATGCCAATGGTTCTTCACTGCATTGTCTGCTCTCCGCTTCTTTATTACTGTATTCTGGTATTGAGCTTTGAATATGCATCCAGTTAAATAGGGTTGCCTAACACTCTTTTTGCATGCACGGTCATCCACAAGAAAATTCTTATAAAAATAAGACTTTAGATAATTGGGATGATATTTGTGTTTTGTTTGGATCGGATAGAGCATTATGGGATGGTGCGGAGCAATATGATGAAGCGGCGATGGCTATGGATGAGGAGAGGATGAGCGAAGTCAAATGAATAAGAATATGCCAAATGAGTTTCAAATGCTTAAGGACTTGCTTGAAGACGAGAAGCTGGATTGGATTTTCTTGTGCTTGGAAGAGTGATCGAGTCATGAACAATTACGAAATATTAAATATATACTTCATATACTTGTATGTATTTTGTTTATGAAACAATTGACCATTATGTAATTTGAGATTATCTTAACAATATTTTGTTCATTAATCATTTGAAATGAAATTCTAGTACTTTCCAAACAACATCAGAATTTAAATTCTAGAAATTGAAATTATGAATTTTCCAAACAGCATTTGGATTTGAAATTATAAATTTTGAATTTCTTGTGTTTGCCAAACAACGGAATGGAATTTGAATTATGGGATTTCAAATTATAGAATTGAAATTCAGCAATTGAAATGAATTCCCATTCCCAAACACTACCTAATGGAATTTGTAGATTTGAAGCCTCACTGCCTCAAAAATCATAAACAGAAGAAGCAAAAGTTCAAAGAAATACCTGCGGCCTGAGAGCGCTGCTGCGGTGCTGTCAGCTGGACTGTTGGGGCATAGGGTGGATTGCTGGACCTGCCGCTGCAGAGCCGGAGTCGGATAAGCGATCTAAGGCGGAAGGAGGAGATTCAGGATCTGCGTAACTGCGATCACCTGGGACTCAGCGACTTGCCTGACGGGCTCTCCGCTACTTGTGAGGCTGCGAATTGTTTAAGGAGAAAGCATAAAGAACGGCCTTGTTCTGTTGCCATAGGCCCACAGCGAACGGCGCCACTGCTTTTATTAGTGTGTGTCACAAATATATTACGCACTACTATAATTTGAACAAAAAAAAAGTGACACAAAAAATATAAGAGGTAAAAAAAACTGGAATAAATGTGGTCTACATTATTTAATAAGAATATGATTTTACAAAAATATAATGCCAAGTAGTTCATTACTCATAAATATAATCCAAAAAACTTATAAGGAGTATCAAATTTTCAAAAAATCTAATTTCATTTTGGGAAAAAATTTGTTGTTTCAATAATTCATTTTAAAAATTTCATGAAACAAATGGCCTGTTTGGGAATAGTTTTAGCGATTAGCGTTAGCGTTTTGAAAAAGTTATCTACGGACAGCGTTTAGCGTTAGCGTTTTCAAAGTAATCTGCACCGTTAAAATTTTATCCAAAACGCTAACGCTAATCTCTAACGTTATTTCCAAACAAGCCCAACATTTATTTTTTTTTGAAACAAAGCAATTAAATTAGGAAACCAAGGGAATAAAGTTTGGGGGTGTGTCAAGCCACTCCCCTACAACATCATCATAGCAAGTACTACGCACTAACAAATGCGCTGCCTCGTTACCGGAACGAGGAGTAAAACGAAATCTAAGGTCTCCTGCACAGAGAATTTGGAGACGCTTACAATCTTCAATGATAGAATTAAAGTAAGACCAGTCTCTGATAGCACTCTTAAGTGAATCGACTACCTCTTTACAGTCTGTTTCCACAAGGACTTGTTTCCAGCGTTTACTTTTAATCCAACTAAGTGTTTCCTTAACTGCGATAGCTTCTGCTTCACGTGGACCAAAACTCCCTCTTTTTTTATGTTCTGCAATTATTAGAATGAACTACTAGAAAACTTTTGCACCACAAAATTTGTTTGTAACACACAACTTTTCTCCAAAATGATACTATATATCTTTTGACAATTCACTACAATATTTTTTTCTTGAAGTGACACTATAAATTCTTTTTCCGATATTCGTTACTATTTTTTTCTTAAAACGATACCTCAAAAGTTGTGAGACGTAATTTTAAAAGATTGGCACAAATATCTCACAAAAGCGTACTATTATATTTTAAAAAATAAAAATAAATTTTTTTACCTCAAATAATACAACATTTCATTTTATTGCACAACGTAAGTCTTTAAAAAAACATTTGGTCATCATTACCTCCCTAACGACAATCCAAAACTCGCAAAAATGCAAAAAGATAAGGTTTTTTTTCCTCACTAGTTTGTGCAATGGATTGAATACTACAATTCTACTCCGGCCTTTTCTATACAGTTGAATGGAGGCTAATATGGGCACTTTAAAGGTAGGATCGGACTTAGGCCCCGTTCCGTTCAACTTATTTTTTCTTATTTTTTCTTATTCTTATTAAAATCAGATCAGGTCAGATCAGACTAGATCAGATCATATCAGATCGAATCAAATCAGATCAGATCAGATCCAATCAGATCAGATCAGATCCAATTAGATTAGATCAGATCAGATTAGGACTTATTATTATTATTATTATTATTATTGTTGTTGTTGTTGTTGTTGTTGTTGTTGTTGTTGTTCTTAAAAATGAAGAAGAATAAACTTTAGAAATAGGTTAAATAGAAAACTGAGAAAGTAATCCTTAATTATTAGATGTCGGAAAAATTAGTTTTAAAATACATTGACAATGTTAATCTAATTCTACTTTTAAAATATATTTTTATTGCTACTTGTAATTTGAGTTTCTAAAGTTTTGATCTTTTATAAGGATGAGATATTTTAATAAAAATACTATCTCTTCTATATATTGATTATCTAAATTTAATTACTTTTTAATGTATATCTAAATTTAATATTTATTCTAATGTATATATGAAGTAATTATTAAAATATTAAATTAATATTATAATTTCAAAAAAAAATAATCATAAAATAAAAAATATTATTACATTATAATATGAATGATTATTCTAATATATGAATTAACTAATTTTATTTTATTAAAAAACAATCATTAAATAAAAAATATTGATTATATTATAATATGAATTATCATTACAATTTTCAAACGTTATTATAAAGTCCAATCAAATTATTGATTTGAAATTTTAAATTAAATCATAATTAATCAGATCAGATTAGACCAGATCAGATCCAATCAGATCAGATCAGATGATCAGATCCAATCAGATCAGATCAGATCAGAACTTACTAAAATCAGATCAGATCAGAAAAAATAAGTTGAACGGAACGGAGCCTTAGACATGAAGATCCGATTTCCCCCTTGCTTTTTGTCCTTATTATGGAATATCTAAGTAGACTACTGCAACAAATGGCTCAGTGCAAAGACTTTAAATTTCACGCGATGTGTAGATTAATTTAGTTAATTAATTTAAGTTTTCCAGATGATCTGATTATTGTGTGCAAGGCTGAAGACAAGTCACTTAGATGTATCATGGATGTCCTAGACACTTTTCACAGGACTGAGCATAAATTATGCTATGTCACATACTCCCTCCGTCCACAAATAAACTTCATGTTGCGCGTTACGATGTTTGAATGAAGTTATTTTCAAATAATTTTATATGAAAAATGGTGTAAACTTTAAAAATAAAAATTACATATTAAAAAACTATATCAAAAGATCTACAAAACTAGAGGTGACATGACTATATTGTTTTATCAAATGAGTGATGAAAATAGGACAACAAAGTAAATAAAGTTTGACTTTGTGAATAGTGAACATGAAGTTTATTTGTGGACGGGGGGGAGTATTATTTTTGGTGGAGTGGACAAGAAGACACACGAGAGACTACTGAGAGTGACTAATCTATCCATTGGAGAGTTGCCTCTCATATTATTGCAACTAAAATCAGTAATAAAGAATGTGACAGGTAAGTGAATATTATCACTTCTAAAATAATATCTTGGGCTTCAAAGAAAATGACTTATGTTGGAAGATACAAATTGATATGCAGTGTACTGCGTGGTATTATGACTTTTTTGTGTAAGCTCTTTATTCTCCCAACTAAAGTGATGAGAAAGGTACAAAGCATCTGTATGAACTTCCTATGGGGAGCCACAGCCAGCTATACTAAAAGACCATTAGTCAATTAGGAAGAGATTTGTTTATCCAAGACTTATGGAGGTTTGGGCTTAAGGAATATGGCTCTTTGGAACAGGGCTTACATTCACAACTACTGGTGGGATGTTGTTCTTGAAAAAGATAAATAATGGGTAAAGCGAATCCATGGTAGATATATTAAAGGGGATGTGGTTAACTACAAATTGAAGGGAGATAACTGTTTTTATTGGAAGAAGATTGTGAGGAACAAAATATGGTTTGAGCAAATGCCTAAGGTTGGAGAGTGCACTACTAAAGATGATTATGCTTGGCTCATAAGACTAAGCAGAAAACTTGAGTGTTGCTCATTGGTATGGAATAAATTGTCTATCCCTAAACACCAAATGCTGCTAGGCTTATTTGCAAAGGGAGAGTTAGCACTAAAGCTAGAATTGGTAAATTCATGACCATAGGCAAAACCTGTGACATGTGTGGTAAGGAAGAGAATATGGATAATCTCTTTAGTCAATGTTAGGCAACAACAAATTTACTCAAAAGGTTATCACGTGTGGCTCTGTATGTAGCAACATGATACATCATTTGGAAGGCAAGGAACAAGCTATTACATAACAAGGAGAGTACAAAAGAAGATGAGATGTTTAATTGGGTAGTGCTTCATACAACTACCTTTTGGGACAATCTTTTGGGACAGAAGAAAAAGAAAGTAAAGTAGAAGTTTTATTTTTATAGAGATGTATTCTATTGTGCTTTGGTGGTTGTAATGAATGTTTAGTGATCAATGAAATTGTGCCTTTTATTCAAAAAAAACATTAGAAAATAAGATTATATTCAGAAGATCATGTAAAAGTGAGATTATTAAGATAATTCTCTCTTTTTAAAAAAAAATAATTTGTTCAATTGTATTCTTTTGTGGATGTGGACCTACTAGGCCAACTTTCTAAACCAAAAAAAAGTGCTCACTAGATGAAGAGGAAAGCAGCTCAAGCTGTTATTCGCAAGATTACTATAACTGTTCCAACCGAGATTTCATTGTTTATTTAAACACAAATATAAGATGTAGGGTAACTGTTCTTATTCGCAAATTGACCTCAAGAGCCTTCAGTCAATTTGAGAAGTAAAACAAGTTTTTGGATTGCAAAAATATTACATTCCCTATTCCAATATATCTATGGGCAAATTTGTTTCACATTTTCTTGGAATCAAATTTGGCTTTGAAAGGTCTCAAAATCATGCCTCTTGTTTGCCTTCAAAAGATGGGCACCAAAATCAATGACCTAAACCTCTTTCGACCCATGAATCCATGATCTCCAAAACCTATTTCACCTTCCAATATGCCTACTCTAGTTTCAACATTTAATTCATGGGCTGTGTCAACTTGAATACTATTAAGGGCAGAGTTGAGGAGAAGAGAAGAGAGTTACTTAACACAAATTAGATGGGTTGGTTAAGAGAACGCAACACTAGCTCCAATAGTTTCATATTTTCCGGCCCAACCACATCAGAAACGAATGGTTTATTTATTTCTGTCGTGACAACAATTCACATGCCAAAAGAGGGATCACTCTACCAAATATAAACACCAACACGAAATTTTGTCCTAGATCGTGCACGGTTTAAAAAATAAATTTATAAATCTAAGATTTTACCACCAGCACAAGTACAACTCTCAAATTAAATCAATGATGATGAGATGAGCGCACCAAGAACAACGGCCAGCGTCACAAGTCAATGCAAGTGGCATCCAGAGTTCCAAATCTAGTCAGCTTTGATGTCTTCTCCAGTGCTGTGTGAAAGTTTCTTTTGTTCTTGGCTGACTTTGGAGCCTTCTCGTAACTGGAAAAGAACAGTGATAAAATGA